GGTGTGGGTGTGGGTGTGGGTGTAGGTGTGGGCGTAGGTGTGGGTGTGGGTGTGGGTGTGGGTGTGGGTTTAGATGTGGGGTATGGGTGTTGGGGTGAGTGTGGGTGGAAAGAGACAACACCCACACTCACATACCCACACCCATACCAACACCCACACCCACACCGACACTCCGCACCGACACCCACATCCACACCCACATCCACACCCACGTCCACACCCACCCACACCTACACCGCATATATATTTGATAGAAACACGAAGCTTATTTTAACTGAAGTGAGCAAATTGGCGTAATAATGGACTTATGATTTACATGTGACGGAAGCAATCAGTGTTGCAACAGTCATGTCAAACAATATGAGACAACTTTTAAAAAGTCATTAGAGGACGATTCAAAAGTCTTCTTCTTTCTGAGAAAAATTGTTCATTCTTCCTTATAGTACACATAAAAGTGCTGAAACTTTGGTATCTTATATCTTGTGAGTAGGCGAATGTTGCTATAAAGTTTCATGTCTCTATTCCTCATTGTAAATGAGATACATATACAGATTAACATTCCATAAATCTTGTTTTCTCAATGTTCCAAAAATAATAGGTGGTGCATAATACATGTAAATGGACCACTTTTGCGTTTCATTTTTCTACCACTTGATACGCTCTATTAAGGAAACAGAGTATACCACAAGATGCAGCACGAAAAGCTGTACAATCTACACAACAAAGCGTATTCTAATTATGTAAGTTTTGTTCTCAAAAATAATCAAACCTGTGTACGATTAATTTTTGCTATTGCAAAAACTGATCGCACAAAGTTTTGCTATTTTTGCAAACAAAACGTACACAATAAAAACAAGCTTTTCTTAGTAAATTGTAGAACTTTTGACGCTGCATCTTGTGATATAATTTGCTTTTTCTTAATAAAATGTATTAGGTGGCAAAGTGGAAAAAAACAAATTTTTCGTTCGTGTAGAAAAAACGACACCCTTTTTTACGACGGCAAAAACTGATTACATAGAGTTTTACTTTTTTCGAAACCAAAAATTAAATAATTAAAATGCGCTTTGTTGTGCAGATTGTACAGCTTTTCGTGCTGCATCTTGTGGTATACTCTGTTTCCTTAATACAGCGTATCAAGTGGTAGAAAAATGAAACGCAAAAGTGGTCCATTTACATGTATTATGCACCACCTATTATTTTTGGAACATTGAGAAAACAAGATTTATGGAATGTTAATCTGTATATGTATCTCATTTACAATGAGGAATAGAGACATGAAACTTTATAGCAACATTCGCCTACTCACAAGATATAAGATACCAAAGTTTCAGCACTTTTATGTGTACTATAAGGAAGAACGAACAATTTTTCTCAGAAAGAAGAAGACTTCTGAATCACCCTTCATATATTCAAGAATTAATCACGAAATCATTTCCAGTATCATTGTTTAAAAGCACAAACCATAATCAGCCATATCACTTAGTATTACTAAATATCTAAAAAAAATAAATATATATAAACGATGGGTTTGTAATAATATATGTGTTCAAAAATTGTCTTGATAAAGATCAATTTCATGTTTATTTCTTTTCAGATAAATGTTGCTTTTCTAATTTATTACAGGGTTGACTAGTCGAAAATAGAGTCGAATTTTGAATGTTTTAGAAAAATATACCCTTTGTCTTGGTTTTCTACACTTCAATCTTTAATAAATATATAATATTTCTGTTTTTTCGTTCGAAGGTCAAAATGATGAAAATCAAAACTAGCAATCAAAAATATAAAAAAAGATTACCGTCTTGTGTATTGTTTCGTTCAAAAATTTGTGTTTTTCTATCGATTATGATTTCATTCTTGGTCTTGATAGCTTATCTATCTCAAGTATATGTAAAGATTATACTCATAAAAGATTTCTCAACTGTCTCTTCACATTGGAAACAGTCTGAAGAACACTCATTCCGGTACTCTCATATTTCTGTGCCATGTGTTGAACCTCATTGTCATATTGAATGTTCCATTATGTACACATCTAACAAAACCGATGGAATTATCCGATACACATCTTTAAGTAAGATCGAACAACAACATTTGATGATTGACATGGGCCATGATATCATAGTTCAGAAGTTAATTAATTTCATATCACCGCCGAAAGTTTGTCCTTATCGTCAAAGTTCATCTTCATCTTTAGAGAAAAGTACAAATAGGACTGTTGAATTCTATCCAATAGTATTCGGATTCATTGATCAATATTTATTTGAAAGTATACCGCGTCAAGTATTAATTAACCAACAATTAAAAATAGTAGATCAAATTTGTTTACCTAAAAAATCTAAAGATTTCAGTGAACTAATACCAGGAAAACTGGAAACATACAAATTTAGTTTTGAAAGTGAATTAGATTATCGTCGATTATATAGTACAGCATACTTTGCAATTACTATGAAAAAAAGTGGATGGGATTGTAATCGACATTATGAAATAATATCATCAGGTACGATGCCTTTTTTTGATAAATTAAATACAGCAGGAAATTA